ATTCTTTCACTGAATGAATGGGTGAGAAGCATTCTACAAATATTCAGCAGCCCTGAAGGAAGCTTTGCAAGGAGATTTGGTTATTCTAAGAATGAGTAATTTTGTTGTGATTAGAACAGAAGTATGTGACTGAATCTTAGCATATGAAATATCCCCACATAAATATATATTTATTAGCACCTCACTGGTTGTAGATTTTTAAAGGAATACCAGTATAACTCTTTGTTGTATAATTGATAGATACAGTTAATAGAATTATCTATTACTCTATTGCAGAGTAATAGGAAAAAAAAATCTACACAGAGGCTTATGCTTGTACAGGCAGTGTGATTCTAAAATAAATTCCTGATTTTCTAAACTGTTCTGCAATTAAAAAAAAGGCATAATACTGATAAGATTCCACACAACAATAAGATAGTTCTAGTCTACAATAACGTCAGGCCTTATACAAATATTAAGTTTTAGCTTTGTAAAGCTACTTCATCACATTTAATATACAAATCCATAATTATGTGACACTTATGGATTGGATTTAAGAAATGGCCATGAACACATTAAAGACAATAAGAAAATGACTTCCTCTAGCAAGCACCTCAGTATTTTCTTTCATCTTAAGGATGAAATAAGACTTGTGCAGAAAAGGAAACAAATTATGCGTAAAACTTTGATGATTGCAAAGTAATCATACTATTAGATAAAAGCAAAAGCATATTCCTTTTTTTTTATTATTATTAAAAGATCCACAGTGAAAGATCAGACCTAGCAACTTTAATGTAAAATCCTTGCAACCCTGTATTTTGCTTACAAAAGACAAATACGAAGGAGTTATTGATTTATTTCACTAACAGAAGAATTATTTGCCTTAAAATAAATGCCATTCTTCAAGATATTCTGCAGGTAGCCTCCTGCATGAACACAAATAAAAACCAGTAGTTTTGAATTAAAAAAAAGTCTGTTTATATAGCAAAGCTTCCCTAGCATCATAAAAATGGTAAGCAATAGAGCAAATCCAGATCATACCTACGCCCCTTGGCCTCTCAGAACCCAGGAGAAAAATCTGAGATGAAGACAAAGAAAGATGACTGGTGGCATTCCCCGCTATAATACAAGGTAAAAAAAAAAAAAAAAAAAAATCAGTTACTGCTAACATTGGCAATTGCTTATCTGTATATCTCCCTGAACAGACAAAGCCCACTTAGCAAAGACACTGCTCTCATAAGGCAGCTCAGTACCCAGCTGTAAAACATTCCCACAAACGTCTGCCTTGAACTAATGCTCATTTCACCTGAGACCCACTGTGAATTTTGTTTCTTACTTCAAAACAGAACTTATGTAATAAAAACTACAAAATCAGAGAGAATTGATAAGCAGATAACATAACCTGAGTTGGATGATAGCTTGCTTTCCCCAACTGTCTACCTCTTCTGACATTTTTGGCCAACAGTGAGCAGAGCTGCTCACAAATCACCCTTAAACTGCACTGCACAACTTGATATGTCACTGATATAAAGTCAGATAAAGAGCTCAGTTTGAATTGTTTCTTTTCAGTTCACAAATGAGATTACTACACAGACTCAAATAGTCACTACAAATGGCTGTAATGGCCTAAGATGTTTTTGTTCTCTTCTGAAGTTGTTGCACCCACAGCTGAGCTGGCAGAATGAATCATCTGAGATCTCCTAATGCATTTCAGGCAAAGATACGTGAGTTAGCTCAAATGACACTCAGAAGCACTTCAGGCTGTTGGTTGGCATTGCACCAAATGAACAAGGAACATTCTCATTGTCCTTTGGGATCGGCAACAAGGATAAGAACTTTAATTGAAAGCTCGTAAACAAGCAGTTCAGAAAATCTCAAACATCAAGCCTACCTCAGATATATATATACTGTTACAACAATTCTTTCTTATTGCAGCCTGAAATACTGCCTTAGAATCAGTATGAGAAGCAAAGAGTTTTTGTTACAGTAGAACATAAATACATCACTTAATAAGTTCTCTTCCACAGAAGGCTGTGTTTTTTTCTTTGTTTCTTTTTTTTAATGGAGAAGGCCCACCTTGCCACCAGACCTTCAACAAATTTCCATCAATGCCTCTGAAAAAAACATTTGAAAACATTTCTCTAACTTTCTCTACTCTTGGAAAAATGCTTCCACATAGCAGATGACAATTTCATATTGTGTAAGAAACTCATTAAACAAAACAAACAAAAAAAAATTGCCAGATTTGAATGTAAATCCAATCAATTGCTTTTATTCACAAAATCCATCAAAGAGATGTTCCTTGTGCAGCCCTTGCTCTCCCTCCTATCTTCCCAGGCCGGTTTACCTGCTAGATGTTCTAGCAAGAATACGTATCAATACGTATCCACGTGCTTTGGAGAGCCTGCTCTGGTGATGCAGCTCCTATTCACCATCACATCACAGTGTTGACTCATCACCTGCACCACTGTGTCACTACTGCTGCAATACCCTTCTTTTTTTTGGCAGAATTGTAATAATTTAATCATTAACGGTTATTAAAACAAACAAACACAATACCAACAGCTAAGGAGCTGCCCTCTTAGAAGGTCAGGAAATGGAACACTGTAGCAACATCGTATCAAAGATGGTAAGAAGAAACCAAGGACTTCATGGACACCTTTGCCACCGGCACAGACAGGCTGAGGAGTCTGGCATCACTCAGAGCTTACACATATCCCAGGGGATTTTGATGGCCAAGACTTCAATTACATAAGCAACAGCTGTATTATTCATCTACTACCTACTTTAGTGACACTAATTAACAAGAACATTATAAATTACCTGTAAACAATGAAGCATGTACAAGCAAATTATTTTTACATACCCTTACCAGTATGATCCAAGAGCCCAGCAAACCTTGGGAAATTAACAGGATTACCTGGTGCTTAAAAAGCAATTAAGTTCACAGTTTGGGTGGAATATATAAGGTTTACTTTTTCCATGTTAAGGGCAGATTAAACAGAGAAAAAGAGGATTCACAGCCAGATTGTTTTGAAGAAAAAAATCCTCTATAGTTTGATTTTTGAATTCTACTTGATACTGTTGATACTGACTTCATTAAAACTGTTGGGAATATTATCTTAACCACTCTGAAACAGGCAAGAGCTGGGATTTTGGGAGCTAAATAGTCTTCTTTCCTTTTTGTCCAGAGAAAGCCTTGAATCTGGGAGAACACCTGTGTGATGAAACAAGAGCCAAACTCACATGAATGACATTCCTGATCTGGGTGCTCAGCAACAGCTTGTCAGCAAGGATCACAGCCATCTTCCAGCATAACCTCATCCCCAGTTTCACCTCTGCCCCATCTCTGATTGAATTTAAAACGATGACACCTAGGTTGACTTAGGCAGTGTTACCACATACAAACAAGGCTAATATGTCTTATGTAATAGCTATTCCACAATGGCCTGCCATTACTGACAGCTTTATTTGACACTAAAGGTGACTTTCTGAGGTTTAGCTTAGTCTGAGGGAGGTGAAGTCAAACCACAAAAAAGCATTCCTAGCATAGAACACGTGTCCACAAGGCAAGTTGGTGCAGAATGGCTACTGCATTTTAAATTCACACCTAAGATTATTTCACAACAGCTTCCCTTCCAAGTAAGCAGCAGTCAGTGAGAGACAGACAGTAGTGAGAGAAAAGGGAGTAAAAGGGTTCAGCTGAAATTGCAGGTGACTGCTGATCTTTCACAATAACTTTGTTCAGCAAGAATATAAAGCCACCACAGCTAGACGAGACAAAGTGGGCTCATCCAGAGATTTTCACTGCTCACTTAAACACTTTATATAAACACAGCAATCATTAAAGCAGTATTGCCACTGTATAGTATATAGAAACAAAATTATGCACATATGACCATATGGAGCAAAATTTTCATCAGTATTCTTCCAACTATCAATAGTCATCAAGATACACTACATTAACACATAACGTGTAATCTTCTCCTGTTTGTTCCTTTAATGACACACAACATTACAGAAGTAATTATTTCAGAAGCTAATGTTATTTTCTTGCATGTATGAGGCAAGTGAGCATTCATCATCAGAAAAGGCCGTCTCTGCATAGGATACATCCACTCAAAACTACAGAAGCAACTTCAGACTTGAAAACTTACTTGGAGAGTTAGTCCTGGTGAAGGTGTTATCTCTCATCCATCCAACTGATGTAGTTGAGAAAAGAATATGGAGGTGTAAGCCTTCTTGTTACTCCTCTTTTCTAGACCAGTATCAAATACGTTACTTCAAGTCCTGCGATGTTATGTTGGCACAAATGCAGACGATTCCTGGATATACTAAAATGCCATGGCTAAAGCTATAGCAGATAGAACTTGCATTTATGCAAGTTGCAGGGCAGAGTCACTGGGACAATTAACCTGGAAGAGCTTTTCAGTCATTGAAGTGGTCGGTTTACACAGCACAGCAGCTCCCAGGGACACGATGCCCACTTCACAGACCGGTTGGCCTTTCCCAGTCAACCCCAAAGCTGTGTGTGTGTGGGCAGCCTGGGGACTCAGCGAGTGCAGGGAGAGCCCTGCCTTTTCGTGGCTCATCCTCTTACTACCACTTCTTCAAATAAAGACGCCTCTGCATCTTTATATATATATATGTACACACATGGAATTACAATGCACACCACATTAACTTTGGTGGAATTTTAGGAGTGGCCATAAAGCTATATGTAATACAGCCCCATTTTACATCAGCGAACAAAATCTCATCCACTGAAACAGAAGAAGCACCTATCACTCAGCATTACCCTTAAAAGTGAAAAACAAACCGCCCTTCACAAGCAACAAGTGCCCGCACAGCACAGTCTCCCTGAGGTGAAGGAACGTAGGACAAAGCGCTCGCTGTTAACAGGAGGCGACCCTCCCACCTCAGTCGTTCCCGCCTCTCTCACAACGCTCGCGCCCGGGACTCGGCCACTTTAAGCGGAGGCACGCGGCGCGCAGGCTTTGTGCGCACGCGCAGGGGGCGGGGCGCTCGGTCATCCGTTGGCGCTGCGGGGTTCTGGCTGGGGTTTTGCAGGAGGGGTTTGAGGTGAGCGGGGTGCGTGGCTGCTGGCGCGCGCGCGCGATAGGTGCGAGTTGTCACTAACCATCGCTCCCTCGCGCCGGGCTGGGAGTGAATAGGCGGCGCGGTGCTGAGGCACCGTCTGGGCCTCTGCGTCAGCTGGGGCAGTGACCGGCCCGACCTCGGGGCCGCTGTTTCTTCTGAGCCTCCTTCGTTTCTCTCTCCTATGCTGTTCTGCCCGCAGCCTCAGAAACTGTGGTGTTGACCATCCACAGACGGTCTCCAGGGTCACTCCCGCCTTGGGCAGCAGTGATTTCTCGCAGTCTATTCACGGCCTGGCAGGTGTCAGTCGGTGCGCTGCGGGACTGCCCGTGTGTGGGTGTCCGTGTGCCGCATGACAGAGCACTCACAGCAGTGCCAGGTGTTTCTCCCAGAGTGACGCTCTGGCCTTTCTGGGAGCCATCTGCACCCTTCGACTTCATCTGTGACTTGAAATTTTCCTAAGGGAAAATAAGCCTTAGGAGTTGGTAATTCTAAACAATTCTCATCAACTCTAATACAAGGCAGCTATTAAAAAAAAATAAATAAATAACAGGCCCAAACCTGCCCAAGAGGTGGTACTTGGGAGTTTCCAATATGCACCTAATGGTGCATATAAATATGCCTAAATCTGAGAAAATCTAAGTTTATACAGTCCAACTGTACGTAGATATGAGTCTGTGTACCTGCTGGAATTTCTGATCTGTGTGTCAGTCCAGTTGGACTGTAGGAGGAACTGTGGGAATTCACCTTGAGAATTAAATGAAGCATGAGATGTTGGGAATGCTGAAATTATTAGTTCAGCTCAGAAAAGTATTTTTTTTTAATGGTATGCATTTTTTCTTCATCATAGTCTGTACTGATTGTGGCTTCTACTTTTTGAAAACTTGAACTTTGCAATGTAATTAATGTGTTCTAATGTACTGCATCTCAGGGGAGTGGTGAGCTTTGACGCCTAATACATTGCATTCACTTTTTTGTTCTTTTCAGTTAGTTACGTTTTTCCCCCCATAGTCCTAAGCTCCTTGCCCATCTTTCCTCATCTCTGCTTTCTTGGTCTCGCCTCCTCATTTGTTGTTCCCAGTTCTTCCATTTCTCTCCATTATATTTCTGAGTTTTGCTGGCCCTTATGTTGCTATTCCTTGCACGTTTCTTTCCTCTCACTGATTCATAATACCAGTCCTTCCTTCCCGCATGTTCCTCATTCAAAATCATTCTTCCTTGAAAGCTCGCTCTTAGTAAACACAGATCTTAAGACATTTTGATACAGTTTTAGAAGACTTCAAGTTTTGTCTTCTGCTTATATTGGCTGCCTAGGCCTGATACAGGAGGAATAAACTGCCCACTCTTCCTTTTTTTTTGTTTTCCCCACTCTTCCTTTTTTTTTTTTCTTTAAACAGACCACGCCTGATGTGGGCTTTAACAACTTGGAAGCAGACAAATTATTTTGTCAGAAGTTCATACAACTGAAAACTGTCTTATAAACAATGTCAGAAACAAGTAGATCCCTGCACCAAGCCCAAGACAAACAAACTGGAGCGTTTTAGTGCTGATGAATTTACACTTTGTAAAAGGAGTAGTCATGTGTCAGTTTGCAAAAATGGGAGAAGAAAGAGGAGAAGGAAATAAGATTAAAACTGGGCTAGAATGTATTTGAGAATGCCCTGGAGGTGCTGCTATTGTGCAGCCTAATGCTGTTTGCTCAAGATGTGGGTCAGACAATCTTGGCCTAGAATGATGATGTCAAAACTCACAATTTTTACTCCATTTGTTTTAAAGAATAAAAACTCAGATTACTTTTATTTGGAAAAGCCAGAATGGTAGTGCATGCTGCTTCCTTTTGGTCCTTTCAAAATTTAAAATGGCCTGGGAAACCAGTAGCATTGTTGTTCCCTCAGAACTTCTGTTGTTCAGAGAAGCAATCCAAACTTACATTGTATATTTTTCCACTTGTGTTTTCCTGTGCCATTCCGTACTGCCTTTCCTTTGTTTTAATATGTTAATATCTTTATTCAGCACTTCTTCAAGAACTGCATTTTTTCCCTCTGTACCATAGTAGAAAGCAGATATTTCAAATATGTGTTGGGCACAATAAAAATGCTTTTTATGACCTCTTGTTCAGATTGTGCTTGCATAATAAGGGTATTTGGTTTTGGGATAACAAAAATAGAATCGGTTTTGAGCACGGACATTTCCGTAAAGCGTGAGCTGTACAGTGATTCTGCCTACTCTGTGCAGTTTATAAACAGTGGATCAAACACTTAATACCATGGATAGGTTTGAACTGAATGTGAATAGTACTTAGAGGAATTATTTGTCCAGATTTCATGTGAACTGTCACGCTGATGTCAGTTTATATTCACTACATTCTTAACTCATTGTTTCTGCACAGAGCAGTGTCATTAATGGCTATAAACTTAAGCCAAGTTCTGTATGTGTGCAAATCGTTTACTGGAACGTTTTAAATTGTATTCTCTACATCTGGCCATTTGTAAAATGCTCATGGAATTAACACAGATTCTCAGATGCTAAGACAATTGCTATGTGGACCTCTTGAATGCAATTTTGTTATGCAAATACTATCAGCCAAGGTAGTGTAAGAGGATTCAGATACTCAAGAACTCAAGAACGCAAAATTAGATCATTTATGCTTGAGTTGGCTCAGGAATGACACGAAATACGAAGTAAAAATATGTAATTTCATGTTTATAAAGTCTGTGAGTCCATTGTAAGAACAGACTTGCTCACTTCAAAGTTTAGAGAAGAATATGGATTTTTGTTCTGAAAATATTTTATGAAATGGCTAGAAAACAATGTGCCTAAGATCACACAGGAAATATGTAGTTGAGTAGTGATGCTGAACCCATGATTTGCCAAAGTTTACCTTAGGCCATCCTTCTTCTAGGATTTTACCTGAGTGAAAACAGACATTGTTTTAACTGCATGAGTATAAAGTTCACAAGTCTGTTTATTCTTCATTTGAGATTGTTTTATATGACTATTGGGCATGAATATCAAAAGTAGTGAGGCTCATGTTTCACTCTTTTCAAATTTGTAATGAAGCCACTGTGTGGCCTTCTCTTGGCAATTGCTTTGCCAGGATATCAGGCCATTGCAGATGGATCCAACTGCAACAGAGCAAAAGCAGAGCACTGCGCTTTGGCAGCATTATCTGAAAAGCACAGGCTTTGGCAGAAGTCAGAAAGGAGAGGTTATATTCTGGCAGTGTGGAAATGTGTCCGCAGGGTTTCACTTGCACCACACCTCTAAGTTTAGTTTGTTTTGGATGAGCTGTTTGTATTTACATCCATTTGTTAGTTCTTCCTCTCTTCCGCAGCTCTGTGGTTGCTCATTAGGTTGCTCATCTGGCACTACAAATTGCCAGCAGAGCAGTAGGAGAGTGGAGCTGTGCCTGGTGGGATGCTCCTGGCTCAGCAGATGGTGCAGCTCTCCCTTACTGCTGTGTAGGGGACAGAGTGGATGTTAGGTTTCCCATGGGATTTGTAAGTGGTGTCAAAACGTGTGTTAAATGTGTTATGTAACTCCTGTACCCCCATTTCCAAATTGCTGAGTACTTTACCCCATTTTCTTTCTCAAGGGATTTTATGCTTCAGCCCTTCAAGCAGTGTTTTCCTTTGTAGGAGTCCAGTGTGAAATCGCTGCAAAAGCAGGGATGATTATACAAAGAGTAGTGCTGAATTCATGCCCTGGTATGTATTTTATTGCAATAAGGGAGCAGTGTGTTTGTCGTGGTTGCCTAATAGTCTGAAGTGCTGAGAGTAGAAGCAGAAACAACTTCAGATTTGCATATCTTAATACTGTATGCAATAATAAACAAAGTTTATTATGAAGCGTATTTATTTAATCTCTACATGCAGACTTCTAATCTCATGGTTGAGAAAAATAATGCATAATTATGAGAAAACCCTAGGAGTAGTGGGGGGTTGGACTCGATGATCTCTGGAGGTCCCTTCCAACCCCTACAATTCTGTGATTCTGTGATTCTGTAGAGACTCAGCATGAAGAAAGATTATCAAGCGTTGCTTTTTAGTTCTGAAATTTCTTCTTTTTGTAAGATTATTAGAATATTTTTATAAAGTTTGCTGCAACAAGCAGCGTGGAAACTATCAGTAAGTACAAGTACCTTGTACTGGCCAGTGAAGCATAATGCCATCAGATCCATTAACATGAAGGTCTACATTGTTTGTCTAGATTTGCATAAAATGTAGATCAAAAGGTTGCTTGCAAATCAGAGTAGACCAGGCAAAGATAATTCGAATAGTGGTTAGTGTACAACTCTTGTTCTGCATACCCAGGATGATTTGAAGCAAGTTATTTAATATTTCATTAGCCTTTGGAGATAATTCTTGTAGAAATTAGTCCTCAATAGTCAGGAGGGGTTAGCTGAGCACTTTGGAATGTCTGTTATGGCTGTGTCTTCAGTTTGGGTGGTGGGAGTACGCCTGTTTAAATCTCAGTCTGCTGAGTTAGCTGATAGTTTTATGGCTATGAACAGAGACAAGCTAACATATTCTAAAAGGGACTACCATAATTAAAAATGCCTTCCCTGTTGATTAAAGGAAGCTCCGCATTGATTCACCTATTTGTTTCATTTCAAAATAATTCTAGGTAAGAATGGGGTGCCAGTGCCTGAAAACTTCAGACTGGAGCAAAGTACAATACCAGACACAGTGCAGGAGGGACAAGTACGTGTTAGAACCCTGTATCTCTCTGTGGATCCATACATGGTAGGTGGTGAGCTTACAACTAAGCCAGAACTTCTTTAAAAATTACCTTAAACTCTGCACCTCTCATGATGTTTAACACAGAAGTTAACAATCGTAAAATCTCTAGTGGGGAGATACAAAGAAAATATTTAAATGCCAAGTTGTTTCATTAAACATTTCTTTGTGAGGGATGATCCAAACATATTTTACTGTTCTCCAGTGCATGGAGATGGACTAAATGACTTCTGGCTGTTTTTTGCAATCCTACACTTCTGTGATTCGTGCAGTCAAGGAATATGAGGAAATCTTGTCAGGTCCAAGCCAGCTGCCTTTGGGTATGAGGCTGACTTTGAGGCAATGTTTGTAGAACGTGTTGGCTTTGGTAGCACTGGTGAAGGAGATTAAAATGATCTGTCTTTTTGTACCGCATGAATAAGCAGGGAAAGAAAGATCTAAGAGAAGATTATGAATATTTGGGGCTTATGGAGAGATTTTTGAGTAGCTCATTGTGTCTGACGTTTGAAACATATCCCATCCTCAGCTTCATTTGAACTTCTTATAACCAAATGATGTGTTCCACCAGAGCTTCTCATTAAAGTCTTGTCTTTCAGCGCTGCCGAATGAATGAAGATACGGGTTCAGATTACCTCCTGCCTTGGCAGCTCTCTGAAGTTGCTGATGGTGGGGGCATTGGGGTGGTGGAGGAGAGCAAGCATAATAACTTCGCTAAAGGAGACATTGTCACTTCCTTCAATTGGCCCTGGCAGACAGTGGCCATTCTGGATGGAAGCTTGCTACAAAAGGTATACAAAACCCGGATTGTCACCATTTTATTTTCATAAATCTATTTTTTTTTTTAAAGAGTAATTAATGATACTATTTGTTAGTCAAAATCAAGTTGATATTCATAAAGAAACCCATTTCAAAAGGCAGATGAACTCACAGTTGACAAAATCTGTAACATTTTTTCTGCTTTTAACAAAGAAAAAGATGAATGCTTTTGTTGGCTGTCAGGCATGCCAGTATTATTTCACTTGCTGTCTTTTTAATAAACTTCCCCAAGGTTGCTTCTGTTAATTAATTCTGTTAGTTAATTCTAGGTAGATCTACTCCTGATCCATGGAAGTGTAGTCATGAAAGGTTTTAAGCACATTTAAATCAATTTATTCACCAACCTGTTAGTGAAAGCTTGTACTTATTCCATAGGAGAAGTGCCACTGATCTGCAATCCTAATGTTTGATAACACTGCTGTTTTGTCCTTTATGCTAACGTAGGGATAGTTTGCCATTGCCTGAGACTTCTGATCTGCTGGACACTTCTTGATATTTCCATCATTCAAGCTCTTGTGAGTGATTTTACTCACAACCTTTTTCTGAAACTGTGGACCTATAATCTTAGTTTCATTTTATGTAAACTTGTTGTTAAGGTAGAACCAGTTTATAGCTAGCTGGCGCTGTCTGTTGTACCTCGCCTTGTAAATATCCTGAATTAGTCTTGTATCATCAGTCAAATAACAAACAGCAAAACCTCACCTTAGAAGAAATGAACATCATGTGATTTTGTTGTAGGTTGTTCCACAACTTGTGAATGGACACCTTTCCTACTTTCTTGGTGCGGCTGGATTGACAGGACTGACAGCCTTGCTAGGTATAAGAGAGAAAGGCCATGTGACTGTGGGTGCCAATCAGACCATGGTGGTGAGTGGAGCAGCTGGCGCCTGCGGTTCTTTGGCTGGCCAGGTAGGTTGGCTGAAGACACAAAGGGTATAGAGTTACTAAATTTGTGTTCTGAAACATGATGATTACTGAACATACAGATAAAAACCATTATAAATATAAACAAGTATAACTTCATGGGAAGGTTCACAGATTTGGCTCACACTCACGGAGAGATTTTAGGTATGAAACTCAAGTTTCCTGAAACTGGGATAGCAGAAAAGGGTCTGAGGCTGATGAAGAGGATACTCTAAAAACATATGCCTAGTGTGTTTCTTTGAGTAGTCTGCCATTTGAGTACAGTCTTTGAGTTGACTGGCAACTTCCATTTTTCCTATATTATCAAATGCAGTAAACCTTTCCTCACATTGGCTCTCCAGTACTGCTGAGTGTTGTAATTCCACAGTCAGTGATTTGGAAAGGCAGTGTAATTCTGTTGGGAACTGCCCCTTCTCTACATGTGAGGAAGGAACAACAAAAGGCTCTTTGGCTGCAGTTATGTCACGTGGGATGGGAATGTACACTCAAATTTGCTGTCTTGGGTTTAGTGGGATAAGACATGCCTAATGTTTATGCATGGGGAAAACGATCAACTTCTCTTTATTGTTTTGTTCTGTTTTAACAATAGATTGGCCGTCTGGACGGGTGCTCTAGAGTTGTGGGTATTGCTGGCACAGATGAAAAGTGCTCCATTTTGGTCTCAGAAATGGGGTTTGATGCTGCTATCAATTACAAGAAAGGGAATGTGGCACAGCAGCTCCGTGAACTCTGCCCAGGTGGTGTGGATGTTTACTTTGACAATGTTGGTGGAGAGATCAGTGATACAGTTATAAACCAGGTGATTATGCCAACTATCAGGTTTATTCTCATCATTCTCCAAAGTCTGCGTACCCAGCTTTGAATTAAGCCTGTAATACAGTAAAATAGGCTTTCCACTTTGTTGATCTAATTTTGGTGCTGATCCCAATCAGGAATCAAACATTTGACATCAGTGCCTGTTACTTGGGCTAGCCTTACAGTACGCTAGTGAAAACATAGTTTCTACTTCTGATCTCTTGCATTATTGGCCAGGAGACAGTAATGTTCTTAAAACATTCTCTGTCAGTGCAGTAATCTTGTGTTTTAGTACTGGTTTACTGGCAGCTCTGCTGGATCTCCATAAATGCTCTTGACCATCCCTCTTTCGTGTTAACATGAAACCAGTCTGTGTCCCATAGCAGAGAGACCTTGCTGGCAATGCTGTCTTTGGGATCTCTAAATCACAGCCTGTATCCAACAGCTGTATCCTATTACTCCCATTCCTCACAAAAAAGGCACACAGTAAAAAAAAACCTATTATGCTCCTCATATTTAATACTACATATACTGCATAGCATGTTTTTCCACTCTTTGTCTGCATTTGTCTATGTGGTCGTCACAGGTTGACGGGCTGAAATTCTGCTCTTTTCTAGGAGAGGTGACTCTAAATAAAGACACTTGTGTGAAAATTTTGTGATATATTCTAGTGCATGTCTAGAAAACGTGGTTTACGAGACCAAGGAATGTAATTTGTCTCACTTTGTGCTGTCCCAAATAGATGAATCAGAACAGCCATATCATCCTGTGTGGACAGATTTCTCAGTATAACAAAGATGTGCCTTATCCTCCTCCATTGCCTCCTGACACAGAAAAAATACAGAAAGAAAGAAACATCACAAGGTACATTTCTCCTTTGGAACCTGTGACCAGGTTCGAGGTCACAAGATTTTTGTGAGTCTGATGTTCAGAAGATAGTCTGTAGATCCACACCAGGCGTGTGTAATTGCAGCAGAATGTTGCAACACCAGAAAAAATTAAAACCACAGCATCATTAAATTCTTTCTCTTACATTTGTCTGTAACGGCATAAAAATGGGAAAGGATAATGTTACCTGTTAACATAGATTTGTGATTGCTTAATTTAGTCTTGGAGTCTCTGAGAGATTCTTCAAAATAAGGGAACGTGTTGTCATGGTTCTGTTCTCGGCTGTTTTGCAACACGCTATCTCTCCAGGTGTAGTGGTTCAGGAGAGAATCAAATTCTTTTTAATGAAAGAATGCAGCTGAAGCTGTGGTTGTTTTTAAATTTCAGTTTTAGTATTTGGGTTTTCATTAGATAATGGGAGCTAATGAGAACTTGATTGCTTTAGGCAGCTGTAACAGCACCACATGCAAAATTTTGGGCAGCTAAAAAGTTAATTTATACTTTCCATCTATTCCAGGTCCATTGTTCACTCCTTTACAGGAAAAAAAAAAAATCAGTCTGCAGTTTATGGACATTTGCTTGTTCTTGTGGCAGTAGTTCTTGATTTTTGTCATGCTTCTCTCTGCTGCTTGAAACAAATTTTTTTGTCCAAGATAAGTGTTATTCTCAAGGTCCTGCTCCTTTCTTAACAAACTTGCAAAGCTCTGCAAGCATCCTTGTAATCAGTACGGACATTCCTTCAGTTTCAATAACATTGTTGTGTTTCTTTAAAAATTTGCAGATTTCAGAACATGCTTATCAGCCTTTCCTAGCTCAAGGCTCACTCTTTTCCTTGACAGAGAAAGATTCTTGGTGTTGAACTACATGGACAAACAAGAAGCTAGCGTATCACAACTCTGTCAGTGGATCCAAGAAGGTAAACTGAAGGTAGGAATTTTTACATTTAACCTGTGGCCTTCAATATTATCTCCTCAGATTAGTGCTATGAGTACAGGAAGTCTATTTCTTTGTCTCTGACTGTATTACCGTGCTCCAGGATCAAAGAGATTTTCTTAAGAATGCTTAAGTACACTTGAAAGCTTGTCAGGTAGTACCTATAGTGAATACTTACCATGAATGGTGTGGCTGCAGTATGACAGACATGATGCTGATATCTGTACTCTGCCTTTCAGCATAGGATAGAAATGCTTTTTGACTTAAGGGATCAGGCCTTCAAAAATTTTTACTTTTTAATACCTGCTTAGTTCATGTTCTGAATGCTTTTGGGATCTTGTCAGAGATTTCATTTCGAGCTTTATAATCACTAATTGTTATTTTGGGATTGGTAAGATTCTTGCTATCTTTTTCCCTGTAAAGTCTTTCTAAATTAGTTTTTGATTCTTCAGATGATCAGTGTGGTTACCTGGAAGAATCCCAAAATACAGGATTTTGGCATGTGCATGCATCTTCCAGTTCTGATTGAAGAACTGAATTAGCTATAGGTTTATCAAAGTGTTGGCTTCTATCTTGATGTTGGAACATAAGTAGCTGAAACAGAGCAGAGAATCCTTACCATTTGTGTGGCAGTTCCTAAGAGATGTTAATCTTGCCTGGCAAAAACTAAGAGGACATTTTTGTATTGACAGGTCAGAGAGACAGTGGTAGAAGGCTTAGCGAATATTGGTGGTAAGCTTTTGTAACATTTTCTAAAAACATTGAATGCAACAATAGTAGAAGCCATTTGCCAATTCAGATTCTTGTTCTTTATTATAACGCTAAAAATCATGTTTTAGATAATAAAAATCACAAGATATTAAAGTGTCCTGTAAGAAACTCACATATGTTTAAACATTTATTGGATATAAAGTTTGCAGGTTTTTCTCTCCCCAGAATTACAATGTGGGGAGGTGGGAGTTGGGTTAAAGTGTTTAAACTGTTACCTTAGCAGTTCACAATCATCCTGGTCTTACTGATTTAAGGTGCTGCCCATTTCTTGGAACTTGCATACAAAAGGGTCTTTTGGAAACTTTGAACTTACGCTTCAAAACAAAAAGTCCATCTCTAACAGTACTTGTTGCTGGATCTGCTAACAAAAAATGAATTGAAAGCTATGTACAAGGAAAGGGAAAACATACTAGCATGACAAAACAATCTAAGTTAATATTTCTGGAGAAACAAGATAGCCTGTAGCCTCATCCAAAAATCTATAATGAATATAAAAACCATGGGGGTTTTGTGACTCCAACGAGACAAAGCTAAAAGGCCAGGTGACTCAAGATGCACTGTAAGAACGCATCCCTACTGAGTAACAGGAAAGGATAGGATGTAGTCCATTTATTTCTGTAAGACTGAAAATCAGTAGAAATAGGCATTGGCCCAAGCATATAGATATACATTTATTTCTACATTTTCATTTCTTGTTGATACTTACTGGTAAAAATGTGTATTTTGAGGGAATCAGATCAAGTTTTGCAGGCATATTTCACACCTTATTTACTCATTCTTTTGGAATCAGTTTGTCACATTTCTTGCACTATGTTGCCTGCAAGCACAGTACTTTGAAGTCTGTTCACTTCACAAAGGTTTGTGAAACTGATAGCACTTACGGTTACTCATGTTTGCTTCTATCATTTTCTTTAAAAGAAGTTACTTGACACATTTGATTTGGAACTAACTTTTGTCATTATTTCTCTTGAAGCTGCTTTCCAGTCCATGATGAATGGAGGCAATATTGGAAAACAGATCGTCCTAGTTTCTAAGTAAAAGTCATTGCTTGGGGAAAAGTAAACGATTCTATCCATAGTAATAAACAAGTTTTACTTACAGTAACTACCACCTTAAATATACAATTGTTCTTTATGTACTAAAAGCAGATATTTTAGGATGCTAAGGCAAAAACCATGCTAATAAACTGAACAGAATTGGAAACAGGAATGCAATAGTTTATACTAAATATGGTAATATATTTGACATGATTTGACAGCAGTCAATTAGCACAAGTACAAATAATTCATGGGTATTGGAAGTTAGACCACCTCAGGAACTATTTCCAATAAGTAATTTGTATACAGCCACCTGGTTTTAGATGTGCATACATATGTGTTGTTCCTATGCTAATTTGTCTCATTGCCCAAGAACTTGATAATTTTTCATTTACTAGTATAAGCTTAGCTTGACAGTCCAATCAATCTGGCTATCATCTTAGAATTAAAATTATGTGTTATAACTTTTTTTTTCCCCAGATAAGAGCAATCAAAAATTCCATTTCTACAACTCAAGTTCTGTGATATCAAAGATACTTCTATTTTGCCATCTGGAACAAGTTTCCACTGATTGCATTTCCCATTTTTCTGTACTGTATCATTATATAATCTATTTTCAGAGTACCTTAAACCTAGTTCATTTAGAATTCCATCTGCATGCTGCCTGAGACTTCCATCAGAGGAAGGTCCGGCTGTAAGGGCTGGCTTGTTTTGCTTAACAATGCTTTTACCATTTTGGAAGCTTGAGAAGTCAGCCACTGTTTCCAAGTCCAACTAACATAACCTCAAGCCAAGCGATACGGATGCAATTTAAACATCTTCAAAATAAAGCCATTAGAATTCCACCATTATGTACATTTAGAAACACTGGCACATTAATTTAGTGATTAGGATAACTTATGATAGCGTAACTTACAAGCTATTGGTTTTGTTTTAAATATTTGCCTTTAAGAGGAGTGCTTCCAAGCAGTAGGGATCCTCTAGATCTTCTTGAGTCACTACCTACACTCTAAATGGAACTAGGAGAGAAACTATACAGGAAGTTTAGCATTTAAGTCTTTTTGCACACTGTAGAAAGAGAACAGATAACAGAACTGCCTCATATCATTGTGAGCAATATGAAAAACAGTCCCTTGATTTCCTAATGCTGAAGCTGACCCTGAAAGAAAGCATACAGTGACTAATGCTTTAGGCTTTGAAGAGAAAGACACCTGCATAATAGGATTACATTCACATCCAGCTAGATTCTCAATCCAATATCAACATCCCTAACTTGAGCACTAGCAACATCATGCTGGGACAGAAGCCAAATTGTTGTGGAATAAAATCAACATCATTGTAGTTGGCAAATGAAGATAAAAAGCATCAGATGGAAGAAATTCTGTGAATTCCTGCTTACTGACTGTTTACAGATGATACTCATTCCTGAAATGTGGGCATTTCAAGCTTAAAGACTTGATAATTTGTACACAGATGAGAGAGAGAGGAGGGAGCTAAGGGGAATACAGCCTTTTCAAACAGAACCAGATGTTTTATTGAGTGTTCTGGTACATCAGATCATGTGACTTAATTGTCACCTTTCCTTTTTTTCTCTCCCACGTACACACACTTTAGATTGAAACAGCATCAGCCTGGAGGCTGTTATGCAATGCACGCCCTCTTCTGCAGTAAAACTTCTACAAGGCAGTAGGCTGGCCTTAATGCACTGTAACAATCTTTCTGAATAGACTTCCTCCTCCTAAAGTCCAGTTCATTCCTAAAGTTCAACTCCAAATGTAAAAAAAAAAAAAAAACAGCCCACTTCTTCACACAAATTTAAACATCCTCTTGCTTACATTTCCCTATATTTGGCTTCCTCTAATCTAGAAATTGTATGTCCGTTTCAACAACATTTTGAGAAAAAAAGATGCCTTATGATCTTAAAACTGAAGACCCTTTTGTTTTAATTCAAGCATTCTAGTTACTTACATGCATCTATTTCAGAAGGGATTTCATCCACAACCTGTGGTCAGTTTGTATTGCAAGAACGTAAGGAAGGTAGCATAGCAAGAACCACTGCTGAGATCGTGTTAAAATGTTTGTTAAAATGTTTTCACACGTTATGGGTGAAGGTGACTTACTTATACTTGCTTGTCCAAAGTACAAATGTTGGACTTCTGAACGTTGTTTGCTAAAGAGCTATTCTAGAATGAGCTCATGAGTGAGGACCATGAGCTGACACACCTTCCAAGAAGGACAGCCTCTAGGATCTGAATTTTTACAACTGAAAATATGATTAAACTTTAAAATTCCCAGCACTATGATTTTTACAGCAATCGCTTAGTAATCCACGCATGCTGTAAGCCCATTGCAGTCTGATGATGTGAAAGGTGACCCAGAGTGAGGTCATGCTGAGGTATTAATTCTTTACTGTAATAAAGGCAGCTTGATTGCTGCAGCATTCCAGTAGATTAGGTAACTCACAGGGAGGAATATTCTGTAAGCATAAGTCAGATGACTACAGGAAAAAAAAAAGTTACAGACAGTTAAAGTAGACTTCATCACGGTACTCCCAATATCTAGAAAACTCTTCTGCATTTGTGAACCCTGGCTTAATGTTGTCTCTTCAAAATAAATAAAAATCAAAGGAAGAAAATCTTTTAAATGAAGTGCCTATATCTGTTAATAAAAACACTTTTTTTTTTTTTTTTTGCAACCTTGTCTTAATTTCTTACTGTAATAGTGTGTCTCCTAAGTGATCCTACATTGTGCACTGTAGGGGAGGTCTTATTTAACAGAAGGTAAACAAATAGCTGCTCAGGAAAATCCAGGCCACTCTGGATGTAGCACCACCACTGACTGCAGAGGATCAGCATCTGCACGTGAAGCCTTGCCATGCAGAGACAGTGCATGGTAGTTCAGATGATCTTAAGTAAGGGCAGACATGAATGCAAAGTAGCAAGTTTGTGACCAGAAGAAGGTACTGGAAGTTTGGCTATGCAGTCTTTATCAATAAGCACTTCTTGTTGCAACTAGTAACATTTAAACAACGTTGGACAGATATCGTTGAAAAAAATTTGAGCCCAGCTTACACTTGTTTATGTTTTGCCTGTTTCACGCACTCCCATTTTCATCTCTTTTCCTTATGCACTGTGAAAAGTTGCTGTTGGCTACAGATTAGTGCTAGGTCATATGGTTTAGTGCAAGGATTTAGTGGAAAATATCAGATACCTGGAAAAAGAGCTTGCCAGCCCCCATAGAGGTGGTTCCTGTTGCCATTCACGGTAGCAACTTCAGACAAAGTGGAGATAGAAGGCTGACACCTTTCAAGTAGCTTCATACCTTTTTCCTTTTTAATGCATTGATAGTAAAAGCAGATGCAGGACTATTTGTGCTTTTTTGTCTTACACTTTCCTGTATTGCAGCAGGGAAGTGGGAAATATCTATGCAGTCCATAAGCAGACTGCCAGGGATAAAAGTTCCTAAGCAGAAGGCTTATCCTGCAAGGGTAACAAGAGCTGGAATTAACTCCAGACCTAAAGAATAACTTGTGAAACACAACTGAAAACTTCAGGAAAAAGCATGAAGGAAAATGAGTCGACTGTTTAGCCACATGGACACAATTTTTCAACTAGAAAGATATGTTGGATAGTTATACTGAGTTAGGTACAGCACTCACTGTAGGTGAAATGGTGGTAAGAAAGCAGCCAGCTGTACTGAATGAAGTACAAAGTAGCTGGGCAGCATTTACCTAAGAACAGGGAGGTGTTATTTTATAGAAGACTGAGGGAAAACAGTGAACAAGGGCAGTCCCTGCTCCTGTCTTTTCTTAGACTGGCTTCTCCGTAGCTCTGACAGCATCCTCAGAGACCCCCCCTAAGCTCCTATTCTTCTGCAACATGGAGCCTCTCTCACTGTGCCTTGCTTGCTTTCCTTGTAACCTGGGTTGGGAATTTGGCCAAGGACCAGGCTCTGATGGGGAGAAGCTTGGATACTTGCCAGCACAGTAGGACTTCCTGCTCCTGGTTCTTGAGTGACTGGAGAAAGGCAGAATGCTTTCTACCACTGCTCTCACCCCTGGAATGGTACTGCCTTTACATCCTATTACCCAAACCCTTCCCCTGCTTCTCAGCAACAGCAATCCCACTAGAAAGCTGCACAGGCAGCAGTGAACACTGCAAACCAAAACAGCCTGCCCCTGCAGCTGACTTCAGTGTGAGACTTCATTGCCCTCCAGGTAGCCATCACTTACCACCTCAGCTACCCAAGCAGATGCAGAACAGGTTTCCTCCTCAAACTCTTGGAACTGTTCTTGTTCAGTTGGTTTTTCTTTTTCCTTGCCTTTTTCGATATGCCACAGAAAACATGAGAAAAGCATAAAGAAAAATCCTCTTTCGTTAGCCAACAATCTCACAAAGAGAAAGTTACAGATGCTTTTTATAAAACTTAACAAAAACTTAAGCTTTAATAATAACAAAAAAGTATTTGAAAGCATTATCAGAACTTTTCTTTACAAAAGAAAATCTATTTTCAGTTTCAGATAACAATCAAGTATTTTAAAGTCATTTTCACCATGCAGACTAAAAAGGAAAACAAAAAACAACGGAACCACCCAAACCTGCTGAGTACTTTAAAAGAAGCATTTAAATAATGAAAGGCTGATTTCTCACAGATGTTACGGATGCCTGCTGGCAATACTGGCAATTTCTGATAGCATGATCTGCTACTTGCTTTGCTCACTTCATGTCTTGTCCTCTTACTGAACAGCTTGGAAAGGATCCTCTTGGCTTCAGAAGATATCTAGGTTCCTATGGTTACCCCCAACAGACACATAATATTTTAAGAACCACATGCTAGAATTAATAAATGCCAAAGTTGTTTTATTTATAAACTTTAAGAAAGAAACAAAATCGTTCCTGGCTTAACTCATCCCTGAACTGGAAAAACCATGCAACACTATGACATCTTTCTTAAAATAATGCTAATTGATATAAGAGGAATGCATCCTGTTAGTGAGCACAAGAGCTGAATTTTGAAAGAGGACCCAAACAGGCAGTTAATTAGGTCAACACAGATCCTGCTATCACTAGAATGCTTTACTTTAGTCCATCACGTTGATTTGCACCTTTTGGGCATCGCAGAGCAACAGAGGAGAAAAGGCATATTTTTATAGGGTGGCTTCCACATTTATTGTAATA